CTCATGGTTGGTCTTTCTGGCTTGGCCAGTCCCCATCTTGAATCATCTTATTAGCATAAACTATCTAGGGGCCCACTACAAATGACTTTATTAGCATAAAGTATCAGGGCTCACTCTAAATAACAAAGACACTCCTACTACTCAGTAATTCTGAGGATTTATATGCTACCTCTCAGGAGCAAAGGCCAGCCAAATTCTTGATTACACAGATATTTAAATTACAATATGATGCAACATGCAGAATGAATGAACAGTGGAGGTACATCAGCAAATTCTCAGAGTTGCAGAACCTCCACTCTTCCCTCTTGATAGATCCCATACCACACATGACATGCAACCAACACTAAATCCATATAATATCAGTAAAGCTTATTTTCCTTAACATTTTGTTTAGTGTTTACCTTGAGGTTTGTATAAAAGAACTCATGGATGAGATAGTTCATTATCTGATGACCTCTTATTTCCTTAGTCTAAGTCAATTTGAGCCCTCTCCTCTTCTCCTTCTAAGTTGTTATTGTCAGAACTTATTCCATCTTGTGTTGTGGGTGTGTGTTTAAAGTGATGAGGTTATGTTTATTTTTTTGTTTTCCTTCCTTTAATCTTTGATTTTGGTATTTAAGTGTTTGCTGATATATTCTGATAGAGAGCTACTATTTTTCTGATTTTGTCTACCTATTTTTCTCCTTGCTCAAAGCTTTGTATCCCCTTTCTCTTCTTTTTTTCAGGCGTGAGGGCCTTCTTGAGCATTTCTTGTAGCGGGGGTCTTGTGGTCATGTACTCCCTTAGTTTTAGTTTATCTGGGAAAGTTATTATTTCTACATCATATTTGAATGATATTTTCACTGGATAGAGTACTCTTGGCTGGAAGTTTTTGTCTTTCAGAATTTTGTATATATCATTCCAGTCTCTTCTAGCCTGTAACGTTTCTGTTGAGAAATCTGCTGAGAGCCTGATGGGAATTCCTTTGTATGTTATTTTTTGTTTTTGTCTAGCTGCCCTTAATATTGTTTCTTTGTCATTGACTTTTGCCAGCTTTACTACTATATGCCTTGGAGAGGGACTTTTCTTGTTGATATATTTAGGCGATCTATTGGCTTCTTGTACTGATATTTCCAGCTCCTTCCCCAGATTTGGGAAGTTCTCAGCTATTATTTCCTTGAATAAGCTCTCTGTTCCTTTTTCCCCTCTCTTCTCCCTCGGGAATTCCTATAATCCTTATGTTACATTTCCTAATTGAGTCAGATATTTCTCTGAGAATTTCTTCCTTTCTTTTTAGTTTTAGTTCTCTCTTCTCCATCTGGAGCATATCTGCATTCCTATCCTCAATAATGTTAATTCTTTCCTCCATATTGTCAGCTCTGTTCTTTAAAGATTCCAGATTTTCCTTTATCTCCTCCATTGTGTTTTTCATCTCCAACAATACCAATTGGTTTTTGTTTATTGTTTCAGTCTCTTTTGTGAAGAAATTCCTGATCTCGTTGAATTGTTTATCTGTGTTCTCTTGTAATTCGTTGAGTTTTTTTATGATAGCTATTTTGAATTCTCTGTCATTTGGTTATAAATTTCTGTGCCTACAGGGTTGATTTCTGGGTGCTTGTTATTCTCCTTCTGGTCTAGAGATTTAATGTATTTTTGCATTGTGCCTGCTGAGTTTTATTTGTTTTTCCTCATCCTGACAATATCTGGTTGCAGTTTCCACCTGCAGCCCCTGGGTGGGAGTCAAGGGCTGTGTATTCTGAGCCCACTGCCATCCGCAGGCGGAGCACCCTGGCCCACCGGCTGAGCTGGAGTGCCAGGCGTGCAGGAGGGAGGGGCTCTCTCTTTTGCCTGCCCCATCCTGAGGGTGTTTCTCATTCTTCCCTTGCTATCTGCTCTCCTGGGGTGCTCAGATGTTGACAGCACCCTTGCTACAGTTCAGACTCCTCCATGTGGGATTTTCACACAGGGTGTGAGAGAACTGGAGAGTGGTTTTCCCACTGAGGGCCACCCCTCCGTCCTCTCTGGGAGCCACACAGACCCGGAGACGCTGATTGATGGGGAGGGGGAATATTTCTCCTTACCTCTCCCTGCTTCTTCCTGGGGCCCCAGCACATCCACTCTCAGATGTGCAGCTGTGTGGGACTCTCAGATGTCCTCTTGTGTTGTGTGAGTGTCCTTTGTTGGCATGTGAATGTCCTTTTTGTTGTAACTTATTGGGGGGAGAGTTTATGGGAAAGCTCACTCTGCCGTGATGCTGATGTCACTCTCTTCCTTAACATTTTAAATACATATAAATAGAAGTTCCAATATCTTATTTCTGTGCCCTAGAGGATCTGTGAGCAATAAATTGTTGTTTAAACTACTCAGTCTATGGTATTTTGCTGTCCTTGATGTGTCTCCCTATAGGTAGAGTGTAGTTCCCCACTCCATTCACAGCAAGTCCAGGTGACTTCCATTGGCCAATGGAATCAGAGTGGATTGTAATGTACACCTTATCTGAATAGAGGATTTGAATGTTACTAGATGTTTTAGGTTACAAGGAACTGCTCTGTGATCCTAGGTTCCAGAATGAGGCAATACTTAGAAAAGAGCCAAGCAGAGTTACAGTCAAACTTATGCAGACCCTAAGCCCACATGTAATGTGAGTGAGAAATAAATGTTTGTTGTTGTAAGCCACTCAGATTTTGGAGTGTTTTGTGATACAGTGAAATCCAGTTATAATGTAACTCATTCCAGGGAAACAGAGATACCTTTAGGAATATAGTTTGCTTTCTCCTTACAAGCTTAGATTGTTAAGACCCTGATAATCAATGATTCTTATTGGGATGAAGGTATGTACATTCACACTTGTCCATATGCAAGTGCTTGTTAGATCCAGGAGTTATTTGCTGGAAAATTGGTAAGAATTAGCTCTTCCTCTTCTCTTACTTTTTTCATACCTCTTTTCCTTTTCTTACTAAATGATTCAGTCCTAAATAAAGCATTAGATGGGATAGAGCAAGGTACGTGTCTGTTATAGGATGTGGTGGGAGAGCAACAGTGGTCTGGTACAGGTTGTCAGGGCTCAGGCAGGGGGAAAAGGGTGACTGTGCAGGGAGTTGGCTTGGCAGTGGTGTTAGGGCCCAAGAAGAGTGAGAAGAACATCCCCATAGTGGTAAGAAACCAGTATGGGGAACCAGAGCCTGTGCACGTTGAGCAGAGTGTCCACACATGGCAATGGCCTGGTTTAGGGTATCAGAAGCAGTCTGGTCTGGGGTGCCAGTGCCTGAGGGGTGAAGAGGACCTCTATGTGGTGGTGGTTAGGTGCAGGGAGCTCAAGCAGGGTGGAGAGGGCATCCTTGCTGAGAGGTGGAGGACCTGTCACGGGATGTCAAGGCCCAAGCAGGGTAAGGAAATGGTCCATGCAGAGGGTAGAAGCTGAGCAGGATAAGGAGGCTGTCCATGTGGTGGGACAGCCCAGTGTGGGGCCTCAGAGGCCGGGCAGGGTGAGGAGGGTGTTAGATCCTAAGTGGGGTAAGGACAGATTCCAAGTGGAGGTTAGGGAGCCAGCATCAGGAATCAGAGTCCAAGCAGAGTAAGGAGGGCTATCCTATGGAGGTTGGCCTAGCATAAGGTGTCACACCTGAGCAAGGTGAGGAGGGTGTCCATGGGGGTTGGCTGGCCCTGTGAGAGAAAACCCAAGCAGAATGAAGAGGGCATCAACAAAAATGGGGGCCTGGATTGGGCCCAATCAGGGAGAGAAGGGCATCTTAGTCAGAGAGGGAGTGGCAGCAAAGATAGAAGATTGGTTAATTCTGAGGGATTGACCAAATAAGTAATTAAGTTAAAGATAATGGAAGCAGGTTTCTTAGTGTCATGGAAAGGCATCAGAAATGTGGAAAGAGAGGAAACTAGAATGAACTTTTTTGGTGTTGGGCTGGAATTAAAGGTATTAGTATGAACTCATGGTTTTCAATATATTTAGATATAGAAATAAATATAGACATAAATATGTGTGTGTGTATTATGCAGAAGGAGGAGGAGTTAGTTGGGGGAGATTAAAAGAAGGAGGATTATCTGGGGAGAGCTGAATCTAGGGTGTGAGCTGGGAGCATGTCTGTGTAAAGATTCCACATGAAGGATGTAATTTTTGGAGTGTTTTCCTCTTGATTTTTAGAAAAAGTCATATTTAGCACTCAGTTTATCTCCTAAATTGTGATTCCATTAAATTATCCTAACTTGTTAAAAAATAGTCGTATAGGGCTGGCCTGGTGGTGTAGCGGTTGTGTGCGCTCTCCACTGTGGTGGCCTGGGGTTCGCAGGTTTTGTCCCAGGTGTGCACCGATGCACTGCTTGTCAAGCCATGCTGTGGCAGCATCCCATATAGAGTAGAGGAAGATGGGCACGGATGTTAGCCCAGGGCCAGTCTTCCTCAGAAAAAAGAGGAGGATTGGCAACCGATGTTAGCTCAGAGCTAGTCTTCCACACACTCACACACACACAAGTCATATATACATGTATAACCTTTTGTTGTGTTGTGGGGCTTAAAGAGATAGAGAAGGATGGAATAAAGGGTAGCCTACTCCTCTAACATTCAGTAGAGAGAGCTGCTTTCAGGAGTTGCTGGAGGTGACTATAGCAAAATGAGTGGAGACTCATGATGGAGTTAGTTAAGAACAACAAGGAAAAGCGGAGAGCACTGAGGAGCAGCTTTAGAAGGCATACGACCTAAACTTTGACTTTTCCACTACATTAGTACACTGAGTCTTGAAAGTGGGGAGGCTGACATGTAAGTTTTTGTCAATGATCCTCTTAGAATGTGGTCCCCAAAAGTTACCTGCTCAGCCATAAATGATAAAGAAAATGCAGCACAAATGAGTATATGCCCAGGTTGGTTGGTCTATAAATAATTATATTTGCATGTGGATGCACACAAATACTCGAATTTTATTCTTGCTGGTGAGTTCAGATCACACAATTCTCAGGAAATATTTCCATAATCGCTCAGTTCCTGTTTTCTTTTCCTTCCTATTTCTTTCCTCTACACTTTGAGTTCATACTTTTATTACATTTGCTAGCATATGTTTAAACGCTGTGATTCTCACTGTGCTGGTCCTGGAGATTGGGCCTGTCTGAGGTTTTTAGTTTTCATGAGATTCCTCTCAGGGTTATTTGCCTATCTGGGACCTGAGTTCTCATCTAATTTCGTGGTAGGAAGTATGTCAAGTTACCACCATATTTGGGTTTTATTTTAAGATGTTTTCAGGAACAGATGAAAAGAATTTTTTGAAGAGAGCAGAAGATCTCTTCTCAATATGTCTTCAGAGATCACTTATGCTGAAGTGAAGTTCAAAAATGAGTTCAAGTCCTCAGGAAGCAAATCAGAGCCTCCTGCAGGTAAGAAACATTTTCTGGTGGTCAGAGTTTTAATGATGAGATGAAGGATGAAGAGAGAATATTATGAATGAAGCATAGATAATGTTAGTTGCTAGTTCTCCAACTGGCCACAGTTGGGAAATGAGAATTTTAGAAGATTGAGTTGCCTGAAAATAAGCTATAAGGGGTTGTACAGTTATACTATAACAAAACTGAGTTGTGAGAAATCCACTACAGTCCTGAGTGAAGGAGAATGATAGTCATGGTGAAAAGTTATTCTCCTATGCCTTCTGAGACTGAATGAGACTGCAGTCAAGAGATTGGGGAGAACGGGGCTGGCCCGGTGGCGCAAGCAGTTAAGTGCGTGTGCTCTGCTGCAGCGGACTGGGGTTTGCAGGTTCGGATCCTGGGCACGCACCGACAAACCGCTTGTCAAGCCATGCTGTGGCGGCATCCCATATAAAGTGGAGGAAGATGGGCACAGATGTCAGCCAAGGGCCAGTCTTCCTCAGCAAAAAAAGAGGAGGATTGGCGGATGCTAGCACAGGGCTAATCTCCTCATGAAAAAAAAAAAGATATTGAGGAGGAGAGTAGTCAAGATGGCAGTGTAGGCAGACTCTGAACTTACCTCCTCCCACGGAGGAGAATTACCCCAGAGAGAGAACTGAAAACTGGATAAGAGGAACTCCTGCAACAAATGGCAATCTTAATTGAGGTGGAAGAGGCAGAAATTCCCTTCTGGAGAGAAAAAATGCCACCTTCACAAGCTGCAGCGCTTCACGGCTGCCCAGGAGCAGCCCAAAGGTATGCAGCCGTCCCTGAAGGAGTGGGGGACCTGAGCCGGGGAGCACCCCTGCTATAGGCATCTTTTGGACCCAGCACAATCGAGATGAGCAGCATAGTATCTGACTTTGCTTGCTATTAAAACATTGCGGAGTACCCCCAGAAAAGCTGACTCACAAAGAAACTAAAGCCGACTCTTAAAGGGCCCATGCACAAATTAACCCATCTTGGAAAGCAACTTAAAATCACTAGAAAGAAAGGTGCACAGTCTTTTGATGAAAAGAGACTCACCTGATGGGCTCTGAGTGCATCTTGGTGAGAGGTGAGACCTCTCCAGGGACTGGGACATTGGCAGTGGCCATTGTTGTGGTGTGGGCATGCTGACACAGATGCTGGCAGATGCCATTGGATTTTTCCCTGGGGCCTGCTAGCCCAGGGTCTGCCCCACCCACTAGAGCACTGATTTAATCCAGCTTGGCCAGGGCAGGCAGCCCACCCTAGAGACTGGCCCCACCCCACAACATGCCCTTGGGCAACTTGTGGGCCTGCTAAGTGAGCTGCCTGGATTCTCTGTAGCCTGGCAAGTGGGCCCACCTTGTGGGGAAGGGCATGAGCAAGGAGCAGGTGGAGAATGTGGGGTGGTGGTGGAGTGTGTGGGGCTCCCGCCTTGAAGAGACTGGGTCCACTTCAGGAGGTCAGGGTGTGCTCATGGGGCAGGACTGTGTTGATTGTGTGTGTGGACCTGTGGGTGGTGAGGCTTGTCAGCTGCAGAAGACTTGTACTTCTCAAAGAGGCACATAGAGGGTTGGCCCCACCTTCCAAAGCCTGAAACAATTGGGTGCTCCTGTGCCTGAGGCCAGCCCCACCCAGCTACAATCCTCAGAGAGCTGACAAGAGACATAAAGGCTGGAGGCTTATAATAATTGTAAGCCCCTGAGCCCAGAAACCTGCCACACTGGGAGCCTACTCACTTAATAGAAGTACTGCAACAGGAATGTGCTATTAGAACTTGCAGCCAACTGTGCTGGGGCTCCCCACACCTGATAAAGAGACTGAAGGGCCTGCAACAACTACAAGCAGCTGAGCATTACAACAACTGGCTAGGGGCATAGCTCAGCCTCCCTGGGCACCTGCAGGAAGAGGAATCATGCCACAACGGAAGGACACATGTAGCCCACATAGGGGTCACTCCTGCAACATTCGGAACTAAGGGAAGCACACTGCCAGGCCTCACAAGGGGTCATTTATATAAGGTCACCTCTCCAAGAGCAGGAGACGTAGCTGACCTACCTAATACATAGACACAAGCACAGGGGAAGAGGCAAAATGAGGAGGCAAAGGAATACATTCCCAGTAAGAGAACAGGACAAAACCCCAGAAAAGGAACTAAGTGAAACAGAAATGAGCAACCTACCTGACAGAGAGTTCAAGCAAAGTGTGTTAAGGATGCTCATTGATCTTGGGAGAAGAATGGATGAACTCAGTGAGAATGTCAACAAAGAAATGGAAGATATAAAAAAGAACCAATCAGAAATGAAGAATACAATACTGGAAATGAAAAATTCACTAGAGGGTCTCAAAAGCAGAGTAGAGGATACAGAAGAATGGATCTGTGACCTGGACGAAAGACTAGAAGAAATCACCCAAGCTGAACAGGTAAAAGAAAAAATAATTAAAAATAATGAGGACAGTCTAAGGGACCTCTGGGACAACATTAAGTGCACTAACATCCGTGTTATAGGTCTCCCAGAAGGAGAAGAGGGAGACAAAGGGGCAGAGAATCTATTTCAAGAAATAATAGCTGAAAACTTCCCTAACCTAAGTAAGGAAACAGACATCCTGGTACAGGAAGCACAGATAGCGCTAAACAAGATAAACCCAAAGAAGCCCACACCAAGACATATCATAATTAAAATGTCCAGAATTAAAGATAAAGAGAGAATCCTAAAAGCTGCAAGAGAAAGACAAGTTACATACAAAAGAAACCCCATAAAGCTATCAGCTGACTTCTCAGCAGAAAAGAAAATTACAGGCCAGTATCACTGATGAACATCGATGCAAAAATCCTCAACAAAATACTAGCAAATCACATACAACAATATATTAAAAAGATTATACACCCTGAGCAGTTGGGATTTATTCCAGGGGTGCAGGGATGGTTCAACATTTGCAAATCAATCAATGTGATACACCACATTAATAAAATGAAGAATAAAAATCACATGATCATCTCAATAGATGCAGAGAAAGCATT